TCCATTTTTCTTAGATTTATGACGCTGGTTTTAACCTTATTTTAATACAGTTTTGCAAACCTTCCTCTGGTAGCAAGGTTTGAACCTGAAACCTTCGGGATCAGAGGACAAACCTGTTTTACTTGAGCTAAAGAGCAAATCTGCTGCACGTAGCTCTTTTCCTGCTGTTGGACCAGACGCTCGCAGAGGAGGGCACGATCCATTTTGCAAGTACATTACTCCGTGGTAAGAAAGATCTTTGCCCCGAGGTGCCACTCCTCACATGCCTGGCCTCCCGAAACATAAGCTTCAGTGATTAATATGAGCTTTGCCTGGGTGGCTTTAAACATGTTTACTGTTATGTTTACTTAAAATACTCTTTAGCGGTGATTCAGAAAAGTGTGTTATTACAGCTGGTAAGTAAATTCCAGACTGGCCCGTGTTCCATCGGTAGTGACTGCAGGCATCCCATATCAGTGAGTGGGCATGGCACCAATTTTCCCATTAGTCAAACTATCCTATCAAGGGACAATTTTTTCCAGGAAAAATACTCCAGAAGCAATTTCTCCATGCAAAAGTGATCTTCCCACATCAATATTCCTGCAATGAAAAAAAACCCTATTGCACAAAAATTCACCCCTTTTCCTGCCTGCAGCAAGAACACTTATGTACTTGTGGGTTTAACATTTCAATAGTATTTGCGAAGTGCCAGGAGGGTGTTCAGCGCTGTACAAGATGTACTGCCTGCATCATGAAGTTTAAAAAGAACAGTTCACACAAAGGGCAAAACACTAGATGTGCTCTGAATTATTGTGGGATTAGAGCACAGAAGGACAGCTGACAAAGTGTGCTGGCAAACAGAAATTATCGTAAAGTCTCTTCTGGTTTTGCATTTCCCCCAGATATCCTTCTTCCTCTCACTTCAGGTTTCCCGTCCTGCACTAGGAAAGCAGCAGAGCGTTTTGCTGTGGTGAACCGGTGCCTACGGAAGGGTTTGGGGAGGGAATACGCGTTGTGCCGAGATCAACAGGGACTGCTGCGCACGCAATCCTGCAGTGACTTTCTGGGTACAAACCACAACACCCTGCACATCATGTGATGTACCCTGTGCTTATTCTACACAGCAGCGAAGCTTTTCACAAATGGATACACTGAGGCAAAAGAGCCCAACATGTTATTGACAGAAAAGTCGCAACACGGTAGCGCCGGAGCTAGAAATCAAACCCAAGGGTTTGCTCCTGGATGTGCTCTGATGCTGGTGTGCACTCCCATGCACAGTCAGCAAGCATCATCACCAGCCACAGGCTCCAGCCACTCTCCATCTGCCCAACGTGTTCCTCTCAGAATGACCATTTTGTTTTTAAATCCCTCTGTGGAGCCAAGCTCCCCTCTCCTGTGCCATCTCCTGTTGGCACGACCTCCCTGTCCCGGCCGGCCGCCTCTGCCCACAGCCCGACCCGGCACTGCGCACCCACGGGGACCTGGTTCAGGCAAACGATGGGAGTGAGTTGGTAACGCAATTCAGCCCGAACTGTGCAACAACCTGACTGTGCAGACAAGCAGACAGCACGCTGTGCGGTGGCGAGAGCTGTGCAGGGCACGACGTGCTGCCCGGTCCCCAGGGATGCTGGCAGGCTGGAGCCGAGCTGCCCGCAGGAAGGACCATGCGCTCCCTGCCCCCAGGAGCCGCCCTGGGCAGGAGCAGTCAGGGCAGAGCGCTCCACCGCAGGAGCTCGTAGTGGGCCCCGGGGAGGGGGGGCACCCTGTTTCCCAAAGACCCTGGAGTGTGCTGCTCTCCAACAAGCAGCTCCGCTCCCACGGGCAGAGGGACCGGGTGACGCGGGGAGGCTCGCTGTGCCCAGGGCGGCGCTCCCGTTGGAACCGGGCAGCGTGGGCTCCCCTGCATCATCAGCCAAGTACTTTGGCACTTCAGCAGGGCTTGTCCACAAATTTTCTGAGCGTGCTATATCCTAGAGCGCTCACTGCACCTCCAGGGCTGAGAAGTGATGTATCCATTTATTTAAGGCACATCACCACAGTGGTAAATATTGTCCCTATATCACAGGCATTGCCACGGTCTACAGCTCATGCTTGCGTACGAGTCACACTCACAGCATCGCTGCACAACAGCTGAGGACTGGCAGGGAAGAGAGCTATCAGATGGAGGGAGCTATGGGGGAGGATTTTAGATAGGCACAACAAAAGGATGCTGCATCTTGCTCTATCTCAGGGCCCACAGCCAAGAGATCAGTTCTATTCCTGGCACCGCCACGGGCCAAACTGCAGGCAAAGCTCACCCTCGCATATCCACTGACGCAGCGATACCAAAACCCTCCTCATCCAAATACCTTATTTTTCTGACATACTTAGCTGCTGGATTCCTAGCCAGCAGCAGCAGCCTGCAGTGCTCCTTTGTCGTGTGCACAGTGTGTATGGCTCACTGGAGGAACGCTGCAGCCGTATTTCTCTTATAGACTTTAGGTAGGAGAATCAGCTATTACATAACCCGAAGTACAGAGGGCAGAGGAGCATCTACTTCATACACAGTAGCACTTTCCACATTCCATCTAAAATGGCTTAAAAAAAAATAATCACTGCATAAAACCATATTCTGGCATATTCTTACATAAACTACTCAGTAATGTTTTTATATTCACTGACAGATGCCGTTCAAGAAGCCTAGCAATAGCTGGCTAATTTCTTTGCATCTCTACTGCATCCCCAGAAGATACTGCTCTCCCTCACTACAAGAAACATCAGTAAGAACCAAACCGCCTCTCGGGGTCGGCTGGCAGCAGAGCTGTGCAGAAGCAGCCGCGGCTGCCAGCTGTGGCAGCATTAGAGAGCTCTCGTCTGCCTGCTCACAAACGACACGAACTTCATGGAGACACGTGGCAAGCCAAGCTGATTTAGCCATTAGCTAATAGATTTATCCAGGAGGTAACAAAGTGACAGAGAAGCTGTTGACTTCACATGATGATGACAAATAGGGCCAATTTTACTCCAGCCAACTTCAGATCCGAGTTGCCGGGGCTGCGCTGCCCAGCGCTGGCGCTGCACGGCTCCTCCGGCTCCCCTGTGGGTACTGGCACGGTTCCCTGTCTCAGCCATGTCACCGCTCATCTTCGCACAACCTCACGTTTTATTTGCGCGTCTTTATGAGGAAGGACCCGATGGATCTGAACATAGGACTCCAGGTAGCCAACAGCAAATTTGCTTAACCTAAGTCTTCAGGGTAAAACGGACAAAGCACAAATGCAGATAATTAGAACAACACTAATGGGAAAGGTATCTTACCACCGCGACTGTCATATTCATTAACGCTTAATGCAGAGCTGTTCCCCTTGCTGGAGCAGTTTTACATCCAGGCATCTGAGAAATATTAGTACCCGTTGGGCCCAAACAGTGTCCTCAGCGCTGTCTAGACAGAAACAGGCGCATTCGCGCAGAGCAAACAGTAATAGCTGTTAATGCACCCAGTGCCATCAGCCAGCCCAGCGCGACTTGCCCGGGGCACTGGGGAGAGGCTGACAGTCAAACCAGAGATCAGCGCAGACAAACATTTGAGATGTTAAAGGCATATGATGACGTGATCATGACCTGAAAATGGGATCCTGAACAGGCTGCGTACACAAATGCCAGGCAACTATCTGTCATGTCAGGACTGACAGAACAGGAGCAGTACAGGTATTGGGGCTGCACAGAGTCAGGAAAACGCAAATTTTGGTACCAAGGTAAAAAACTAGGAAGCAATGCCGCAGGTTATTTGCAATAGAGGGAACAGCTGCACTGGTGGCAACGCATAAGGACAGTACCCGCAGCGGTAAGAGGCCTTCAGAGCACGCAGGTATAAAGCAAAGGCATTTTAAGCTGACAGTTAAGTCACAAGGAGAGTGGGATGTGAAATGGAGGTGTTGGGCTGGACACACTGGTAACAGCGATGGCAGCACCACGAGACGCCAGAAGCCCAGTGAAACCAGTGCCGCCAGTGTGCCCCGGGTGCCCGTCACGTCCCAGCACGAGATGCAAGCGGAGAGGGGCAAGAGGAGCTGAAGCACGATAAGGCAGAAAGCTTTGGAAAGGGACTGACGGGCCACTGTGCTGCACGTGGGCTCTGCACAGGTCTCCTCTGAAGGAGAGAAGAAAAGTTTCTGAAAACTTACACTGTGAAATCAGGCTGGGTTGGTAGATCACTATCGACAGAAATCTTCAAAGACACACTCCATGCAACTGTTCTAATACACAAACAACTTACAGCTTGTTATCAACAATGCTAAAAAGCATGGGATTTTGTTTTTTGCTCCTCAGCGTGTAAGCCTGGGATGTAAACTCCCTCGGCCAATGTCTTCTGGAGCTACAGCAGAAGACGACCTCTCTGGAACAAGGAGCTGTGACCAGAAGTATACAGAAAATTAACTGCTTTGTAATAAAGAAATGCCCCTTTGCTCTTAGAGCAGTGTGCTTGCTCTTGAGTCCTCGCTGACACACTGGTGTGTCTCTCTAGTGCACCAAGCTGACAAAGAACAACTTCAGGCAGTTCTTAGGGAAAGTACAACAAACACACCAAAGTACATTAGGATTGCTTACGGGTGAACAAAAAATCCATGGAAGTCCTTCCTTCCTGCTGTCTCGGTTACTTAAACAGTCTTTTTACTGCTTTTTGTTTTATACAGGACAGGAGTCTATGTTTTTAAAAAAACAAAGAACTTTCACAGAAACTTTATCTCATTAACCACCTTCGCACCGCATGTGCCGGTAACACTCCGCCTTGCCCCCGGCGCAGCTATCTCCCTCCGGCTACACCCATTCACATCAACAGGTGAGGTAGTACGTGCATCCAAACCTTCACAGTGGAACATGTGTAAAGCAAAATAACCACACAGAGACGCACGCCAAGACCAGACCCCAGGTCCAACGCGGGGCTTGCAAACATTTCCCTCCCCTCGCGAGAGTCCTCCTGCCTTCCTCTGGCTGTTGGCACCACAAGCACTACTCCAGCAGACAGGACCAGAGTACTGTACCTGGCTCGGAGATAATCAGGCTCTGGTCGGAAGGCAGCAGGAGGAATTCCCTGCAAATGTCCAGGTCCAAGCTAGGCAGGCTTTTCTTCCGGCACAGCTCGGTGACAATGCGGACTGCCTTCTGACAACGGCTGTCATCCTTGGTACCACTCATCTCCCACACCGCATCCTCCGCTACCCCCTCTGCTGTCTAAGAAAGTCAAACTAGGAAAAGAGGGTTTGTTTACTTTTGGTCACACAAACGGATTCACACCAGTTCCACCCCCGGCGTGGCAGCACCTCGAGGGACACCCTGTGCCAGGCGGTGCTCCAGCGCCACAAACGCTGCGGAGCGATGGGAGCGCGGAGGCTGCGCTCGGCCTCCGGACACCACAGCCCGCCGCAGCCCCGCCAGCGCTCCCGGTGCCTTACCGCCTCTGAGATCGGGTATCTGTTTACTGCCAAGGCGTGTTCCAGACAAAGACCCTCCCACCAAACTCAGTTTCGTGCCCTCCGTACAACGTTTTTAAAGCTGCAGCCCTGATAATTCTTTTTAACCCTTCCATTGCTGCCCCGTCTCCATTCTCCAGGTGCCGTTTCAGATCCCAGCCCCAGAGCAATTCTGCAAAAAAAGTGAATGCTGAAATCTTCTGTCTGAGGACAGCACATCGTCAGACCAGAGAAACAAGAGTGCTCCCACAAACACTGCACAAACTACTTACAACTGCCAAAGGCAACATAAGAGAAGCAGCAGGTTTTATTGATTTGTTTGTACTGGTCCTAACACAACAGGCTGCAGATGGCAATAGAGATTGAGAATGCCACTGTATTTCATAATTAGATTTTTTTTTCCTGCAATATTTTTTTATTCCTATTGTAATTTAGCAGACAGGTCGTGCCACATGACAGAGCTACACTTTTGAACAGAGAATATATTTGACAGGCATGGAGAAAAAAAGCAATTGTATAACAGGCAATTAAAATTATGTACAGCAGAATGATTTCTGCAGCTTCTGGAGCAGAGAAGCTAGTACAAACATAATGAGCATACCGGAGAGCCAGGGCTAAAGCTGCACAGGTCCCTCAGCCCCACATCGCAACAGAGTATGTTTAGATTCATGCCACTGTGTTTATTTTGTCTGTTAATTACTTGCTGAAGCACTTGGAGCTATAGCACCAGGTGAGTCCCAGGAGCCACACACGCACCCGATGCGGCGTGGGGCTCCCCTGGAGCACAGGTCCTCTGACAGCCCCCAGCGCAGCCACACAGGCTCCTGCGAGACAGCAAACCTCCCACAAGCTCCATACCCAAATTCCCAGGCTGGGAACTCCAGGATCTACCCATGCTGCCTCCTCCTGCCTGCTCCCTGCCCACTCCTGCTGCCCTGGACCAGCCTGGGCGGGACAGGCGAGAGGCGACAGGGGGGACTGGTGCTGCCCCAGCGCTGCCCACACCTCTCCCATGGGTCAGAGGACTGCGGCGCCCTTCCACCTCACTGCAGCGCTGCCAGGGCCACCTGAGCGCCTGCTCCCTCGGCGGCTGCACGAACCCTATTGCAAACTCTCCAACTGTTGGGTTAGTGACGCGCTCCCAACACGGAGGGCTTTTGCTGCAGCTGAGGTCCTACAGTGCCATCCACGTGGTTAAAGGCATTGCTCCCACATCCCCATGCAGCTGCAAACAGGACCCGTTTGGTCACACCAGTCCCTCCTGCCTCCTCGCCCAGACCAAGGCGCTTTGGACACCTTATGGCCGCTAGCTGAGCGCTGGCGTCTGCCACAGCGCTTTATCCAGCGTGGCAACCTCTGGCTGGCATTAGCAACTTATCTACTATGCACTTCTACTTCCAAAAACTTCTGTTGCCATGACAATGTGAGTGAAATCTTTTATTAAGACAGCAATATCCTACAACTGGTCACAAAAAGACACTTTTTAATTAGACACTACCACCTCCCGGTCAGTGCTGTATAACCTTCTGCTGCAGACAGTTGGAGGCGTACCTGCAGTTAGGAAGTATTTCTGGGAGTGTTTACCACATGCGGGCAAACACCAACATCACCATCCATTTGCTGGCAGCCCCACGGCTTGCAAAGGTCTGTGTTTACTGCATAGAGACTCCAGACCTTGCAAGGCTGGAAGTTAAAATAGTAATTTGCCGCAAGTTCAAGCTCAGGTACAGTTTGCATTGCGCTTATATGACAAACTCACTAAAACCACTCACCTATTTATCTTCTTAGGAAACATGGAACTCAAATTGTGCCCAAACCCTGTCTTTGGAACCAGTCGTTCCCATCACTGACACCCCCAGCCTTCATCTCTCCTTATTCACTGCGCAGTGTTTTTCCTTAGGCTGTACAGCCCTTACAGAAAGGCCTTTCCCTCCCTGATTTGGGTCCACACAACATCTACCGAGGCAGACCATACCCTGCTACAGCCGCTTCGGTGTACTGAAGTATGAAGGAGTTAGTGATGGTTTTGCTTCAACTGGAGGTCAGCCCAGGACCTTTGCTAAAGTTGAACGTTTGGTTTACTTCTGCCTCCTGCTCTGGAGAAGAAACTTGCATACGTACACTCACATATGTGAAGAAACAGCGCCACTGCAGAAGGTCCCACAGAATGTTTTTTCCACCTGTGACGGAGAATATGCAAGAGGAAGGAGAGACGCACTGAGCTGAGTGCACCCTGCAGATGCAGTCACGATGGGATTTGCAGGCCCCAGAGCAGGTTGCAAGAGCCCATAGCTATAGCCAGGGGTCTGGGACCTCCACGGGGAGGCTGGAAGGGTCAGAGGTGATGTTTACTTGCCAACTGTGACAAACCAGCTGTGACTGGTTTACTGTAATGAGCATGCTGCTCACCTGGGCAGGTGAATAACATCAGTCAGCACACAAAGAAAAAAACAAAACAAGAGACTACAAAGGTTAAGTTACAATCACCTTGTGCTGGTGCTGCTTCTTCCCTATTAGGATCTTCCTCAGACTGACTGGATCCCAAACATCCCATCGCTCTCCATCACTGCTCTGCTGCCCACTGCTTGAAAGCACCATTAACGGCAGCAGTTACAGAAGCAGATTAGCATATGCAGAAGTGATCAGACACGGATTAGCAAAACAACCCCCACCCTTTCAGGACAACACTACCCTCCTCTGGGAAAATTCAGATATTCGCAGTGTCCGGGAGGCCCCTGTAGGGCAGAAAATGAACATCAGCAGTTGATTTCTCAGTGCTGGGGAAGACTGTTCTTTAAGCCATGCTAAATTTTAAAGCGCTGCAAATCCAGCTTTGTTATAGCTTCTGTAGCCTCATGAAACACCGTATATCCTAGAAACCATCTGTACTTTAATAAAAAGTGTGGGAAATGCATATAGAGCACCAGCCCATCCCAAACTAGGATCACATCATTTCTAGCAAGGAGTGCTGAAGCATCCCCAAGCAGTAATCAAGTTTACATTTGCCACTGTGACCCTCCCTCCCCCCCCAAAGATTTCACCCAATTTACTTCAGCAAAGCCGTGTTGAGCAAGTAGCTATGGTTTGCACACACCATGTCCCAATAGCTCAGTAGAGGTCACGGACATGGGGATTTAGTGATAAACTCCTGTGCTGAGTGACCACCTGCAGTTCACAACCAACGAAATGTCGCAGGCTTGGGAGCCAGCTGCAAACTATGAGCTAACGACTGTAGGAAGCAAGGAATATGTACATCAGCACTCATCACAGCCTCCCAAGTTTTTTTTCTAAATGGAGAGGTTTCAGCCCCTGCATCACTGAAACCAGCGAGGTATACGCGTGGCCGGCCGCGGCACCAGCACAGCCATCTCGGACGATGCTTCATAAGAGCTACTGGCCATGGCCCGGCGTCTGCCAGCACTGCTGCTGCGGTGGTTGCTGTCCTGCTCCCAGCCAGGCAGGGAAGGAGCTGAGCAGGACGTGGTGAGGGAGCAGCACCTCTTCTCTGGTCCTCCTTTCATGGCCTCCTCCTGGGCGCCTGTGGCCCACACTCCCAAATCTAAAGCACAGTGAGACCCCCAACGCAGCAACTCCCACCGCCCTCAGGGGATACAAGTGCACCCTCGGCTAACGATACCATCACCACATCTCCCCAGCGCAGCAACAGCTTTTTGCCTGAGCCACCAAAACTGGCACCAAGAGAGGAATTCCTGGAATACATCAGTCAAGTATTGCGTTTGAAATTTGAATTTACCTTAAAGAGATTTCAACAGACAAAAAAACGCAAACAACCAAACCCTTAGAAAAAGGTTAATGTCCAATTGAGAGCTTGTGACAGAGAAATCAATAATAAAATTCAATTATTTGGAAAAAAAAAGCTAATTTTATTTCAAAGATAAAACAGACCTTTTTACTTTTAAATCTAAAGTCACCTTGGGTCAATTATCTACCTTCATTTACATATCAGAGGATTCCAGGCTTGCTGGGTAACAATAACAGGAGACCTGCTATTAGCGTCCATACTCTTAACAAATATTTCTTCAGAACAGACTTTTTTTGCACCTTGTAGCTTTGAATTTATGGCATATGCACTCTCTATCATCCAACATAGAAGGCTGAAAACAGCCAGATAGCAGCTTCCACATCTGAAAATCCAAAGACTGCTTTTCCCAAGCAAGGATTCCCGCAGCTATTCTCTTCTCCCATACACACACACACACACCTGGCTACTGAGATACGAGATTTTGCCTCTCATCTCCCGCTGGGAACCTCCCACTTTGCCCCCCGGGGCCGCATAGGGAACGCTCTGGAGGAGCCAGACCCCTGCGCGCAGCAACTCCCACCGCCCTCCAGCTGGTGCGGCGGTGCCCCCTCCCCGGCCACGCTGCACCCCGCGGCCAAAGGCTGGAGGGGGACAACCCCACACCAGGCGCACAAGCACAGCTCCGACAGCCGCAGAGCATCCTCGCTGCAGCTGCCTCAGACCCCGTTTGTACTCCGCGCCCAAATTGCTCCGCTAAGTCATGTTTCCACCTTCCAGTAGTAAGAGCACAGGCACGTGCCCCCCGCGCTCCCGGGGACCTGGGCACCCCTGACCACCTCTGAAGAGGTTCAGCACCTTTGTCTCACCCACGTCCACCCTGGCATTTCGGACCTCGCGTGTCTGGCAAGCTTTTCCCTGCAGCTGCATTCACATGGCATTTAGGAAAGCGTGGCGTGCCTCCC